CGGACCTGACACCCTGGCCGGCCTCCGCCCCCCGCGGACTTCCCAGCCCTGGTGTCTGAGCCGGAGTCTCTCTGGGCTCCAGTCCTTACTGTCCTCTTCCCAGGGCACTCAGCCCATCCTCGGCCGCCTGAGCCCACCTGGCTCCTAACCCCAACCCCGATCATCTCCATCTGTCCAGACTCCACTCCTGCCCCACCCCTACCCAGCCCCCCATCCCTGAGGGCCCTGGACCCTGGGTTCTCAGTGTCAGCTTCCTGCGGTGCCCCCAAGGATGCTTCATCCCAGAAGCTAACCCACCCATCCCCAGGAGTCTTGACCTGCAGACATCCCTCCTTCCACATGGAGGAGGATCCGTTCTGTGTCTGCCTTCTAACCCACCCATCCCCAGGAGTCTTGACCTGCAGACATCCCTCCTTCCACATGGAGGAGGATCCGTTCTGTGTCTGCCTTTCTCCGGTTGTATCCTCAACTCCTGGCCACCAGCCCCCAGCTTCCCCATGCAGGAGCCAGAGGCGCTGGTCCTGTAGATCCCCTTTTTCACCCCCAACTCCTCCTCTCCCCCACCTATCCTATTGGTTATCTGCTCCAGGCATTTTCTAGGTTTGTGCCTTGTCTGTTCCATCCCCTGCCTGGCTTGTCCTTCAAAGGCAGGCTGAGCCTCAGTCACTTGTAAAGGTGTTCCCACATACAGGGTAAAGAAGGGACCTGCTTGGGCCTACAACCTACCCCTCCTGGTAGGTATCCTCTCTGGGTCTGGCCCAATGCTGAACCAGATGCTTCTGGAGGACAAAGCCCCTACCCCTCCCACAGCTCAGTGACCCAGGTCTGAAGAGGGAATATGGGGTCCACCCCAGGAGCCCATGGGACTGGTGGGTAACAGGATCCCCAGGGCCCCCTCTCTGCCCTCTGTGCCCCGCCTGCCTGTCATGAATCAGCAGCTCAGCAAGGCCAGGCCAGAGCAGCTTTACACCTGGGCTGCAGCCGGTGATCTGGCAAATTCCTGAGCTGGTGACAAGAGCAAGCAGGGGCAGCTTAGGGCCACTCAGACCACAACTGCCTATGTCCTGTGTCCTTCCTGCCCTGGGCTGCCTCAGTCGAAACCCCCACCCACTCCAGGCAGCTTCTTTAGGAAGGAATGGCCTTCCTAGCCCTGTGGGGACCCAAGGGTCCAGGGGCAAACTAGGCTGTGGAGGTGGGGTCATGTACCCAGTTCTGCTCCCATTCTCCACCCTCAAACACTGGATTTGGAACAGCCTGGCCTCTGAGGTTCTCCCCAGGACATCCCTCACACTGACCAGGCCTCCAAGACCTAGACTGTCCCCACATGTGAGCTGCAATAACAGCAGCTAGGGTGTGAGTCCCTAGGTTAAAGAGGCCTCTCTATCCCTAACCAGGAAGGAAAGGAAAGCCATTTCCTCTACGCCTTTCAATACCCGAGGAAGGGCAGGTCTTTGTTCCCAGAGACATCTAAATGACATCTCCTTGACCACTGAGGGAGGGAGGGGAGGAGTGTGAGCCAGGAGCCAAACCCACCTAAGGGATTCCCCCACCAAGCCGCTGGGGTCAGTGTAGGAGTGGCCATCACACCCTGTTCCCCTGGGAGCTCCCTAGCCTCACCTTCCCTGGCCTCTGGGGCTTCAGACGCTTCAGGGAGCAGAGAAGGTGCCAGATGTCTGATGGTCTCACTGGAGGACCAAGGGGGCTGGCCAGTACAGAATTCTGGGGGGCAAGGCCAGTTGGAGATGTGTGAAGCATGGAGATCCAGCCACCCCCTCTAGGCAAAGGGATAGTAGGGGACAGAAGGTTTGGGGCCTGAACACAAACTGAGCAAGAGGAAACCCCTTTATTGTGCACCTCTGGGGGTGCAGGCACTTGACATCCAGAACTTCCTGGGTCCCTGGAGGCAAGAGGTCACTGCCTCTCCAGGGAGGAGCCACACCCCCAGCAGATCTCCAAGCAGGATCCTGTCCCAGAGTTTACGTGGTCAGCTCCTTTCTGGGAGAAGGGAAGATGAGGACTGACCCACAGACCTGAGTACCCTGATCTCCTGCTGTAGGGCCACCACAGTGGGCAGAGGTAGAAGCAGGCAAAGGCTTGTCAGCTTTGGGCCAGGGTCCAGGGACAGGAGGGTCCCAATCAGCATCCGTGTCCTGTCTGCTTTAGCCTCCTCAAGGCTAGACCTCCTGCTCGTCAGCTTTCTGGCTGGCACTGTACCTGCAGGCCTCAGGAACTGGCTGAAGCCTCCCTGCCCGAGGAGAAAGCCCCAGCTTTTGCCCACAGGGGTGCCCCTGGGCCCCCAGAGCCCTAACATGGTACCTACCAAGGTCTCAACACCCCTTGGGAATCTGGAACTGGGGGAGGACAGTGACCACTGTGACTCCTCCAACTCACACCTCTTGCCAGACACGGCTGCTAGGCCTCGGGTACCTACAGATTCACACATAAGCACACACTTGCACATGTCCCGACATGTGAACACAAGAGTGTGTACTCCTGCCCACATGCCACAGGCAAACGCAGGGCTGCAAGCAGCTGTGGACTGGACATCTGGTGGTGGTCTCCACCCTGCCACTGCCCAGCTAGACCCTGCCCATCCTGGTGGGGCACTGGCCCTGCCTCAGCTCAGCAATTCCTAGGGCAGTGCCCCACTTACAGGTTGGGCAGCTTAACTACTGAAACTCTCCCTCTGAGTCTCCAGGGGCCCTGCCCATTCACCCTCATCCCCTCGCAGACCCTGTGAGTCTGATCTGGAGAGAGAGTTACACTCCTCAGGGGGATCCCCAATGGCACCCAGATCCCACAGAGTGAGATCCTGAGGGAGAGCCTGATAGGTTGGAGAGGACGGGAGGACTAAGGTAGGCCCAGGGACACTTCTGCCCAGACTCTCGACACATGGCAGACACCGGGGCCTACACTCCTGCATTCATGTGTGTATAGATTCCCCTTGAGGCAAAGGGTCCCAGGAGCAGGGTCAGGTCTGAGGAAAAGGCCAGGCTCAGGACCATGTATTGGAGCGTGGCTGCTGGGCAGTGCCTCATTGCTCAATCTCCAGGCTGCCACTCGGCTGCGGTGGCTCTGGGGGCTTGAAGCTGAGGACTTCCTGGTAAGTGAGCTCTGGAGGAAGTGAAAGAAAAGGGTGAATTTGTACTTCCCTCAGCCCAGCCCCCACACCTGCTTGGTCTAGCCCACCACCCTCTAAAAGCAGCTTCAACTCAGGTTGAGAATCAGAACCTGCCCTATGCTGCCCCCACCTCTGCTGCAGACACACACACACACACACACACACACACACACACACACACACTCATCTCCACTTGCTCCGCTCTGGGTGGAGGACAGACCATGCTGGGGAGAAACTGGAGAATTTCCTGCAGGAAACAGGCAAAACCCTACTCTGGAGAACACAGTCCTCAGGCCCCTGAGCCCCACAACCCCTCCCATGCCCCTGCCCACCCTTCCACTCCTCCACCGTGCGCTCCGTGGCCTCAATGCTTTCATCATAGGGCTCAGCCTCTGGCTCATCATCTGGGTCGTGGTACTGGCTGAAATACGCATGGGCCAGTGCCTCAGCTGCACTGACCCTCTGGTCACTGTCCAGCACCAGCATCCTTCCAAGAAGGTCTACAGCTGCAGAAGGGGCAGTGGGGATGGGGGTGAGCTCCATGTCCAGGATCAGATGTGGAGCCCAGCCCAGCCCCAGGGTCAGTCCTCACCCAGGGGGTTGGCTCCCTGAAAGATGCTGTTGAGGTCCTTCTGGGGCATGGGGGGCAAGGACTGGATGTATGTCCGGGCCTGGGGGCACACAAGACGAGCCTGAGAGGACTGTTCATCTCCAGCTTCTAGACCCAGGAGACCACAGACCTCTTCCCTCATGGGATCGGATGGCTCTAGCACCTGCAGGAGATAAGTCCCAAGAGTTCCCTGCACCCCACTCCCCTCTACTGCCCATGGCCAGAACAGTTTGTTGTGTGCTGTGACTTTGTCCTCACTGAGCCTTGTGCCAGGAAATCCCTCCCCATTCTCCCATTCCCCCCTGAAGGGGCTGGGTGTCTAACCTGGGCTCTGTGCCACCCTGCCCATACTCTCCACACCACCCATTCCCTGAGGCTTGGTCAGCAGAGGAAGCTGGTGGCTGTCTGGGCACGACTCACATGCTCCGAGGATATCTTTGCCAGAACCTCAGGGCTGGGTGTGCCCACCACTTCCATGATGCGCTTCAGCTGGTCAATGTCTACCTGGCTCAGGAAACACCGTCGGGCAAGCTGTGGACCTTTACCAGCCCCTACGCCCCAGAATTTGGAGCCTGTTGTCCTGCAGCTGAGGGCAGTGAGCCCAAGGTTGTATGGCATAGAGCAGAGGAAGTGAGACTGCCGGAGAGGGCTAAAGCCCACCCCCACCCTGCTCCTCAGCCCGGACTAAGGATACAGTCACTCCCTGGGAAGAGGGCTTTTCCCTGGAGCAATTCAGCCATGATGCAACCCACAGACCAGATGTCCACTGTTGGGGGAGGAGGGAAGAGCCCGTCAGTGTGCTCACACGAAGCCCCCCCTCTGGAGGTAGGGAGGAGTCATCCCAGTAACCCTCAAGTCACCTGTAGGCCCAAAGACTAGCAGGGTCCTTCCTTCTCTATACCCTGCCCTGAAAAGGGGAGAGGTGGGTCCCACCAGCCAGAGGCTACCCTCCACCATGGTCCAGGCTCCTCTGAAAGCTGCCCCCAGATCTTGTCTGCCCCTCTTTGGCCTCATCCCCGCCACTCTGCCACCCTCCCCAGCCTTGGTGTGCCTCTGCCGGCCCTTTCTGGTCAAGTACCCTCACGGACCAGGGTTGACAGCACCTGTCTGATTGTAATGCATCCAATTGAGCATGATCTCGGGCGCCCGGTACCAGCGTGTGGCCACGTATCCCGTCATCTCCTCATCTGCCTGGCGTGCCAGCCCAAAGTCCAGGATCTGAAGCGACCACAGACGCTCTCTAGGCCCGTCCATGGGAACCCCCAGGGCCCACCCACCCCGCGCCCCTCACCCTGAGCTCGCAGTCCTCGTTCACCGCCACGTTGCTGGGCTTCAGGTCCTGCGGGGTGGGCGGGGCGTCAGCGGAGGCCGGAACCCCGCAGACCGGACCCTCCACCGCACCGCACCTACCCGGTGGATGATCCCGGCCGAATGGATGTACTACGGGAGAGGAAGGGCAGTGGTGAGCCCAGGGCCCCTCGGTGTCTCGCACCCAGACCTCAGTCAGAGTCAGAAGAGCCCAGCGCCTCACCTTCAGCCCACGCAGCAGCTGGTAAACCAGGAACTGGACATGCTCATCGCTCAGCGCCTGGCACTTAACGATATTGTTCAGGTCGGCGCCCATGAGGGTGGTCACCAAGTACCTGCCATGAGATCAGGGGTCAGGACAGAGCTTGCCCCCATTCCCGGACGCGCTCTCCCAGCCACCACGGCGCCAGTCCAGCCGCTCACACTTCGCTGAAGTCCTCGATGGAGGTGGCCGGTGTGAAGACGTCCAGAAGCCCAATGACCTAGGTGGGAGCGGAGGCAGGCTCACGGTCCAGAGGCCGGGCAGAGGACCAGCCGGTCCTCCGGTGGACCCGGCAGGGGCGTGCCTCCCATAGGCTCCGCCCCCTCCCGGCGGTCCGGCCCATCCCGGGCGCCCTCCCTCGCCCTCCCTCCCACCGCCCTGACGGCCGGCTCACGTTCTCGTGGTTCAGGTGTTTGAGCAGCCGCAGCTCGCGGTAGGTCCTCCGCGCGTGGATCAGCGACTGGAAGGGGCGCGACAGCTTTTTCACTGCCACCTTCTGGCGCAGCCGTGAGTCGTAGGCTGAACTGCAAGGCGGGCAAGTGAGAGGGTGCAGCCCAGGCCGCTGGACCTTTCCGCGCGGAGCCCTGGGCAGAGGGCCGCAGGCGGTGCTCCGCAGGCACGGTCCGCGCCTGCTCCCCGGCTGGCTCACCCTTGATTCTCACCCACACCCCTCACACATGCTCCAGGAAGGAGTCTTCAGGTCACCACCACACAGCGGTCTCCTGTGGGGCCTGGGTCTTCTCTTGTCCGGCGACTCTTGCCCCTAACCCAGACCCCTCTCATAGCGAGGCCTGGGCATGGAAAAATCCGCCAGGAAAGCAGCCACTGCCGCTCCCGCGGTACCCCATGGCCCCTGGCCCCTCACCCTGGAATCCCGTGAGCAGGGAGGTTCACTACAGAATTTAGAGCCAACTCTAAGCCCCTGGAATCCCCATACCTCTGCTTATTTAAAATACAAGGGGAGTGACACTCTAGTTGCTCATTTAAAAATTAGGTGCATCCTAATTTTTAAATGAGCAACTAGACTGTAGGAAATGTCCAGCTGAAGGGGACTAGGGGCCCACAGAACATCCCCTAGTTCAGACCCACTCCCTAGAGTTCTGATCCTCCACCTCTGCACCCGGCTTCTCAGCCATCTACCCCATTCACTGGAGAGGATGCAGTCATCATCATCACCCACAATCACAAATAGACAAGAGTCCCCCATCCTCTGCTGGTCCCTCATGATAAGGGCTCAGCTATGAACCATCTGCATGAGTCTGTCAGCAATGCCTTTGCATATAGCCTGTTCCCCTGGCTGATACTTGTCCCTTATCTCCTTATCTCTCTCGCACCTCTATTCCTTTCAGGACTATCCCCCTCCAGAAAGTGGAGATATTCCCCTGCCCCCCGCCCCCCACCACACTGTAGGCAGGGCATGCTGGGTATGGGATGCTCATTTGCAGGGTAGTAGAAAGCCCCTCTCAGGGGCAGGGGAAGGTCCAAGTCACTCCTGGTGTCTGGATGAGGGCAGTGGTCCCTCATGCGGGGCTCCAGATCCTTTTGTCTGATTGCATCTGTGCAATCAAGTGGGAGAGAACTGGTACCTGGTCATCAGCCTCAGCAGTGGAACTGGGCAGACACAGGGCAGAGAGGCAGCCTCACCTGGAGAATTTGACACCTCCCAGGGGCTCCCAGATGCGAATCCTAAGGCGAGTCCAGTGAGGGAGAGTCCCTCTAGAACTACTTCCACATCTTCCCTACTCTTTCTGCCCTTGAGTCTTAGAGATGAAGATAGAGCCCTGCCCTGGGATAGACAGGACTTGCTGGAGGCTTCCGATGGCAGGCAAGCAAGAGCTGAAGATGTGAGCCTGCTGCAAGCTCCTGGGAACTGGCCAGAAGGGATGTGAGACACCCACTTCTACCCTGCAGAGACTGACAGCCCCTGCCTTCTTCCCCAACACGATCTACCGTGGACAGCAGCTACTTGACACTGGCCTCACAAGGATGCCGAGCACTTCTCAATGTCCGTTGCCCTGATCAACCTCACTGTGGGCCTTGCAGCAGCAATTAGGGTTTCTCTAAGCACCTTTCAGCAGGTGCCTACAGGAAGGGGCACCTGGCCACAGCACCCATCAAGTCTATCCTCTGGGCCTCAGACTCTAGCTTCTGGTGGGGACCGGATTGGGTGGGGTATAGACACCACCTAAGGATTACAGGAGGAATGGTAGGCGTCTCTGCTCAAGCCTAAGCCCGGTAAGAAGCTGAAACACCCACAAAAGCGGGGGAGGGGCATGACACACAGGGCTGAAGCCATTCTCAGGGAGAGGTCTTGACCTCCTCCACTGGCCTTTCCCTTTTCAAATAATAGCGCCTGTCTGGGACGCGGGAAATCTGCTAGACTCTGGGGGCGGCTGGCCTTGGCCCAAGAGAGTCCCGGAGGGCTGCTTGGACATTTAGGGCCACGGAAGACCGGCCCTCCCGTCAGCTGTGACGCCACAGGATCCCGCCCCAGCGGGGGACACTCGAGATCTGCAGGGCCGTAGGGCGACCCCCGCCCGGCCGAGGCGCGTCCGGGAGGAAAG